ACAAAATTATTGTCTTTGTCTTTGCTCTATTACTGATTACCAGCAATGTGCAAAGAAGGACAGCCGTGGATATCAATTTGTTTAGAAATACAAAATACGTAATATAAATACAAAATACGAAATACAAAAAAAAATATACCAAAAATAATACAAAAAAATAAAACATAACAGAAAAATCAAGGATGGCAGTGGTGCCATCCTTGGCACTACTACCACCAGACCCTACACCTTACCTTTCTAATCATTATACCTTACCCTCCACCCCTCTAATTACTCCTCCCGTTGATAAACTATCAAATAAGACAGAAATGAATAAATGAGGCATGGGGCTCGTGCTTACACCCTATGCCCTTCGTCCCAAATACGCATGATCGGAGCTCTATAAATAGAACTCTTAGCCAAACCAAAAAACAAAAGGAAAAAAGAAGAGAGATGCTGCAAAAATAAAAGGAAAAAAACATAAAAAAAAATATACACAGTCTTCCCCGTAGGAGGAACCCAGCATCGAGCTTCTTGCATGAAGAAGAAAAAAAAAGGGGTCAATAAAAAAAAGGGTTATAATACAAAAAAAATAGTCTCATTGAAACTTCATCAGCAGATCTAGGGAAGTGGGGATTTTTTTTGGATAAAAGGACCTCGGATTTGAACTCATGAGGTTGATGGAAACATTTTGGTATTTTTTGAAAATTTTTCGACCACCGCTAACGGTGACCGGTGATCGGTGATCGACGAAAGGGGATGATGACGGCGAAGGAACGATCGGTCGGCCATCTGCATTTGGTCGAAGAAAAGAAAAGAGAAGAGAAGAAAAGTTTTTTTTTTTTGTTTGAAAAATGAAGGAAATGAGTAAAAATTTCTTTTTTTAAACTTTTATATGAGCTGTCAATAGCTAAAATGACGTCGTTTCAATAAACACCTAAAATGACGTCGTTTTAAGCACCCAGGATCCACGCGTCGACCCGTGACCCGACCTGGGGTCCGGGCACTCGACCCATGATCTGCTTCTTTCATCAGCCTCTGATCAGTTTGACTGAATCGAAATTGAACCATCCAAATCGAATCGAATCGATATTGAATCGCTGAGCCATCTAAATCGTGCCCAGACCAAGCCGAACTATCAGATCGAACGTCGAACCGAGCCACGCGTTGACTGGATCGTTGACCTGTCCGGTTAAGGTAAAAAAATTTTTTTTTTTGAATTTTTCTTATTTTTTATATATTATTTTATTAATATTTATGCATATTAAAATATTTATATTTGTTAGATTAAATGATGAATTATGTGGTTAAATTTGTTTATAATTTTGTTAATTTTTAAAATAAACTTTAAAAACAAAATAATATAAAAATAAATTTAATAATAATACTAAAGTAATAAAAAATGAGAGAAAAGGAAATTTTTATATTACGATGAGATTCAAAGGTATTCTGAGTAGTGATGCCTAAGAAATCTCTAGGTGAGAAGATTTTTTTAAAAATATTACCAGTGTATTGGAGTATTTATAAAAAATTTTTCAATAAAAATAAAAATTTTCCTTTTTTTTTGTTATAAAATAATAATAAATAAAAATTGATTAATATATTTAAAATATAAGTAATAAAAATGATAATAAAAGAAATTTTATTCGATGATGAGATTCTAAAAGTATTTCGAGTAGAGATGCTTTAAGAAATCCCTAGGTGAGAAGATTTTTTGTAAAATATTATCAGTGTATTGAAATATTTATAGAAAATCTTCAATATAATGAAAATTTTATTTTTCTTCAAAAATTTAAATAAAAATATTAATAAAATAATTAGTGAAATTTCTAACAAAGGAGAATAAAATGTGTGCATTAACATGGTAACATTTTGCATTGCATGCATAACATTTTTTACGAAAAATAAATTCGAGCCTTCGAGGATGAAATTCTTAGGTATTTCAAGAAGTGATGTCTAAAAAATCTCTAGGTGAGAAAAAGTTCTTCTAATGTTACCAATGTACTGGAACATTTTAAGAATTATTTCAATAAAAATGTTTTAATTTATTTTTCTCAAGAATAAATTTTTTTTCTAATAAATAAAAAATCAAGAAAATTATTTTTTGAACACAAAAAATTAGACTATTTTTATCAAAATCAAAGGATAACACGTTGTTAATTGGTACCGTTTTTTAACGGGTCCTGTGAGGGTGTTAATCCTTCCCCACGCGTAATCGACTCTCAAACCGAAACTGTTTCGCAGATTGTAAAATTATCTGTGGCCAATCGCATCTAGTCAAAAAAGATTGGTAGTGACTCCGTTATTTTTTTATTTCGTTTTCAAATTCGTCGGACGAACACAAAATCGTTACGACAAAAAATATGAGATAATAATTTTTTTAATGATTACTAAAAATATATTATAAATTACTTGAAAGTTAAAATTACATTAAGAGGTTATTAAAATTTTATAAAAATTTACCAAAATTATATCGATGATTATAAAAATTATATAATAAGTTATCAAACTAATATCAAAGGTAACCAAATTATATAAAAAATTATTAAAATTTTATAAAAAATTATCAAATTTTACTTATATTAAAATCAAAATTAAATTATGATTATTATTATTATATAAAATTAATTATTGAAATAAATTTTTAAAAATAAAATTTATACATACATTATGTACGTGTCGAAATTTAAAACGATTAAATTTTAAACAGAATTATTAAATTTCTCCAACTTTGATAAAATTATGCCCCCATAATGAGCAGAACCAGGATTTCCTTTCAATCCTCTTTGTATTTGTCATCGTAAATCCATTTAACTCAATTACTGTTTAATTGCTTGTACAACATTCTTACCTTCTTCTTCACATGTTACACGCAAATCAAGTTCATTCACTCATGCCTGTATATATCCAAATCAATCAATTTTATTCACATTATGACTGAAAGCCCAGCTGGACCATTACGTGTCATTTTCTGTCTCTTTAAAGTTTGTTCGATTATATTATACAATGTGAAAATTGTTTTAGTCAACATTCATGGTTGCGAGTGATGGATAGTTCAGTAGATGCGAATTTGTACCAACGACGACAACAATCAATAGTACTATATTTGTTATTTTTATTGGTATTTTAGTAATTTAAAAAAAAAAGTAAAGAAAAAAAATACAAAAGGTTAAAGCTCAAAATTAATGAGCAAAGCTGACTTGTTAGAAAACGGAAAACAAATACTCTAGGCGTTAATCAAAAAAAAAAAAAAATTCTAGGCCTTTTTTGAAATAAATAAAATAATGACCATACGATTTATTAGCTAAGCATTTGATTGTTAATTTCAATAATGAGGCTTAGTCCAAGGCTACTTCAAATATATAAAAAAAAATATAAAATGAAAATTTGGATATAAAAAATTTAAGAAAAGACTTTTATTGATGGTTAATTAATATTGTAAAAAGTATCTAATATACATATATTTTTATCTTTTATTGTTTATCTTTGTGACACATGGATACTCTCATGTCATATTTATTTTTGTCACACTTGGATTTTTTTAATTGTCATATCAAAGTTTATTTAACTCAATTAATTATAGATAAATGTATTTCATATTTTATGTGTCATTTCAAATTTTAAATATATATTCATATTTATTATTAATTAATTATAAATCAAATCTAAAATAAACAAATCTAATTATTCACGAATTTAACCTTTCATTAATTTATAATATTAATTAATTCAGTTAATTGTGAATAAATGTACTAATTGTTTAATATGATTAAAGTGCAATATATTTTTTAAATAATATAAATACAAATAAATTAAATTATGCTGATAATAATTTATCTGATTCAATAATACAAGTTAAATTATTTCCAGATTATTCACTAAAGAATCTCCAAAAAAATACAAAGAACAAGATAAACTATAAATCAATAATATATCAGAAATTTCTTTATTTATAATATTTATTTGAACATAATTTTTTATATTATCAATTTAGAAATTATGATTTATTGTTGTGTTTTAATCTGTTTTTTTTTTTTTTCATTTTAATGTTAAAATAATTTTTTTTAAAAAAAACACGCAAACCAACATGCAAGATGTGATGCAGAATGTAACTTATAATTGCCTATTGCAACATAATGTCATTTATGCTGGAAAAGAGATATATTTTATAATATTTATACAAATCAATACTCTAAACCAATTTATTATTAAAGATGAAATTTTTTGTACCGTATAAATCATATACCTACTTTTAATTACGTGTTTCATCCTGGTTTGTCAGTTTTATGATTGGCATGATGGAAAATAGTTATTTAAATTCCATTTTGCGGTTATATTAATTTTTTTTTACTCTTTGCTTTATGTTATATGTTTTTTTTTTTAATTTATTTTAAAAGGAAAAATATCTAGCAAATGAAACTTCAGTACATTCCCGTAGGATTTGACGAATAAATCCCTGATTTAGGATTAGACACATTGGCCCCAACAAAAACAAAGATCTTAGGATCACCAACCAAATTCATCAAAACTCAATTCCTCTGTTGCTTTCACCCAAAACATAGCCCTCAATTTGATAAGAAATAGCGTTTCCTCCCCCTTCCCATTTTTGCCCCTTCCTAAACAAATTCATATTTAGCAAAATCCATAAAGATAAAAAAATCATAAAGATAAAAAGTGACCCCATAAACAAAAAATTTGTTGGGTTTGAAGTGACAAATATAACAACTCAAAAATAATATTTCGTATTTAACTTTTTAATATGACTTGTATTATTTTGTTCTATTTTTCTGACTTGAACTTGAGTATTATACTATTAGTGAGTGAGTCAAATTATCCTTAAACTTTAATTTATCATAATTAGTGTCCATGTTTAGAATGATGCTCATAAAACTGTCAAATCTAACAAATTTAAAATTTCAATCCTAACACCTATAACTTTTTATCTTATTCCTAGATTACGACCTCTTTATATGTAAAGAAAATCTATCATAACTTATAAAGGCACATGCTGCAAATAGAAAAGACCTACTCCTACTAGGCCTTGCCTGATCCACAAATGTACAAAATTATGAGGTTAGGGTTCTACTATAAATAGGCATTTTAGCAGCAACAAAGATTTATTTATAGCAAAATATTACACAGCAATGGCATTGACACCGTCCCTCATCTTCTGCCTGCCCCGTATGAACCCCAAGCAAATAATTCTCGCTAGCAATACTCGTCTTCCAAAAGTTGAATCTGACCCTCGTTCTTTCAAGACTACTTGCCACATCTGCTGTGCTGTGTCGACCACTCAAGTTTCTGTTTCTGATCAGCCAAAAGATGAAAGACGTTCAGCAAATTACCAGCCTACTATTTGGAGCTACGATTTCCTTCAGTCCTTAAAGAATGATCATGCCGTAATTACTATGTTTAACCTCTCACTTGTGATTATCAATTGTTTTAAACAACGCCCTCTCCCTCTCTTTCTGTGTTTACTTAATAATTATTTTATGCTAAATTTGCAGGATATCGTATACAAAGACAGAGCAGCAAAGTTAGAGCAGGAATTGAGGTTTTCTATTAATGATGAAGATGCAGAGTCATTGAACTTGCTTGAACTGATCGATGACATTCAACGGTTGGGGTTGGGGCATCGTTTTGAGATGGATATCAGTAGAGCCCTTGAGAAATTTGTGTCTTTAGAAGAGAGTGGTGTTGCAGCAGAGAATAGTCTGCATGAAGCAGCTCTACGATTCAGACTCCTCAGGCAACACGGCTATGAGATCTCTCAAGGCAAACGTTCATGATAAGATTTTGCAGCGTATCATATAAGATCATCACGCCACAACATATTTGTTAAAAATACAACGTTAATACTATATACAAAAGTTACTTTTTTAATGCTGTAAGGCCAAAATATAAATGGCATAAGTGACATTAAACTCTTTCTTAACGTCCACAAAGAATTTGATGTTAAAAACTTGAAGTTTATGTCAGTTGGTTCAAGTAGCCACTTTTAAGAGCTAGCACTTAGTCAAATCTCATTACTTGTAAGCCTTTTCTCTGTCATTCGGGCCTTGACAATTTTGTAAAGAAAAAAGAAATTGATGATAAAACGTAGTACTAATTAAGACATCAATATTCCAGCGGACTTGCCTACTACTAGTAGAGAATGATCTCTTTCTTGGATAGCCCTTAATTGGATAATATTGTCTGAATGCAGATGTCTTTAAAGCTTTCAAGGACCATAAGGGAAATTTCAAGGCATGCCTCTGCAAGGATGTCAAAGGAATGTTGAGTTTGTATGAAGCTTCAAGGCTTGCATTTGAAGGAGAGGATCTTATGGATGAAGCCTTCATGTTTACACGAATGCATCTCACGGATCTACAGGGTAATCAGGAAGAAGTTTTATCAGAACTGGTGGCCCACGCTCTGGAGCTCCCGCTGCATCGAAGAATGCTCAGGCTGGAAGCTCGGTGGTACATCGAAGCTTACAGCAAAAGGGCAGCTGCAAAACTTAAGCTACTTGAATTGGCTAAGCTGGATTTCAACATGGTGCAGTCAACACTCCAAGCAGATCTTAAAGACATGTCAAGGTAAGACGATTAATAAGGAAAATAAGTTCTTCAAAGCGTTTTTTTAACTTGCAATTTCACTGACAATATCGCTTCACGAATGCTGATTAGATGGTGGATGGAAATGGGGCTAGCGAGGAAGTTGAATTTCACAAGGGACAGGCTCGTGGAATGCTTCTTTTGGACTGTTGGAATTGTTTCTGAACCTCAATTCAGCCATTGCCGAAAAGGTCTAACCAAAGTGGCTTCCCTGATAACCACAATCGATGATGTTTACGATGTTTATGGCACTATGGACGAACTAGAGCTCTTTACTGACGCTGTTCAAAGGTTTACGACAAACATTAAAAAAAATATTAAAGTGACCCCAATCTTATTTATCTCTATTATTCACTAATTAAATTTTAATCACTTTAATTTTCAGATGGGATGTCAGTGCTGCGCAAAATCTTCCAGACTATATGAAGCTATGTTTTCTTGCACTTCATAATTCTGTAAATGAGATGGCTTATGACGCTCTTAGAGACCATGGAGAACATATCCTTCCATACTTGACAAAAGCGGTATGATGTATCAGACAAGTGCAAAAAAAAATTAGTTTTTGTCGCTCATCACTTCTATGTATATATTAAGGGCTCTATTCTTCTTTCAGTGGGCTGATTTATGCAAAGCATTCCTAAAAGAAGCAAAATGGGCACACAGCAAACACATTCCAACATTCCAAGACTATCTTGAAAATGCATGGGTGTCAGTGTCCGGGCATCTTTTTCTAGTCCACACCTACTTTTTACAGAGTCCAAATATCACCAGTCAGGCACTTGACAGCTTGGAAAATTACCATGATCTTCTTAGATGGCCATCCCTTATTTTTCGACTTTGCAATGATTTAGGCACTTCAAAGGTATGCTGATTATCACCATTGATGCTTATATTATATGCAGTACTGACTTAATTTCTTGTTATAAATTCATCTGATGAGTTCTATTAATTGAAATGCTTGTTTCTTCTTGTAATACAGGATGAGTTAGAGAGAGGTGAAAGTGCAAACTCGATAACATGCTACATGAAGGAAACAGGTTGCTTGGAAGCAGTGGCTCGCCAACACGTGAGTGATCTGATTGACAAATCCTGGAAGAAAATGAACAGATGCCAAATTGATGGTTCCCCATTTGCAAACCATTTTGTAGAAACAGCTATTAATCTGGCTCGGATATCCCAGTGCACATATCAGCATGGAGATGCACATGGATGTCCAGATAATCGATCTAAGAATCGAGTTGTATCATTGATTGTTGAGCCTATTTCTATCAAGGAGAAGGCAATTTCATAAGTTGTGCCTATTTCTTCGTGAAAGCATTTTTTTTTTTAACATGTAAAACGTACTTAATATTTTTTTTTCCGTGATGTGAAAGAGATGTTCGGATAACGACATTTCATTGAAAAGTATTGGATCATTTTATTCTTGGCATAATTACAACTCAAATAGGGGATTTTTCTCATGCTCCAAACCTTCTTACTTTTACTTGAATTATGCCTAAATGATTCTGGAAATCAACCTGAAAATGGTGATGATGACCCAAAAGAATTCAATAAAAGTATCACATTATTGACCTTGTGTACTAATAATATTGGTTCAAAATTAATTTCTGAAACTAAACTTTTGTCCAACATCACTTCTACCATCAAACATGCACAAAATGGAATTCAGTCCTATGCACGCTTCAACTTAATATAATAATTCAACCTTTTTTTTTAGAAAAATATAATAATTAAGTCTTAACTTAATTAGCATTATGAGTTTGTGATGGAACTGAAAATTTGTGGTAATTAGAAATCTATGGTCGAAAAAACAGTTAATTCCTCAAACGCCATTCTAGAATGAAAATTTGAGCTTTGCAAAGATATTATCCGTCCATCGATTTTATTCACAATGTTGCAATTTTTTTCATAGATTATACAAAATTTATATTTGGTACATTATCAATATATATAATTTATATACTGATAGTGTATTAAATATAAACTCAAATTACGCATTTGATTCTTTAGTTTTCAAAAATTTTTATTTAATTTAAGGATTTATATTTGATGCACTATCTGTTGGGGAACACCACAGCTCTAATATCATTTGTTGGGCTAAAAGCCTCCAATCCAATCACACCAGCGGAAGTGAAATCAAATAATAAATCAAACACACAAGAGACAACAATTTAATGTGGTTCGGTCCAACTGACCTACATCCACGGATGAGAAACAAGATCCACTAGTTGTAGAAAATTACAAACATACATCATATCATCAACCTCATTCAACAATCAATACTCATAAGACACTCTCAATCTCCTCTAGTCCTATGAAGTATTCTCAACCCAAACAAACACAAACTCAAACCCTTGTGCACTCTTTCAACATAACCAAATACATACCCATATGCTCCCATACATCATACCTATGTGGATCCTCTCAGTCTCCTCTAATCCACTCACAAACAAACATACACATCCATAAGACGTAGAGCCTCAATACTCCTATGGGGTGTCTATCCCACAAAACCCTACAACTCTCTTACATCTTTTTCTCATACCTAACCCTGTAGAGACTTCACCTATTTATAACCATACAAACTTGCCCATTAAGAATCCCTCTCCTCTTAGAATTCTTCTCCTGTAAGTTAAACTTGCCTATTAATAATCCCTTTCCTTTTATAATTCTTCTCTTGCAAGTCAAACTTACCTATTAAGAATCATCTTTCTCTTAGAATTCTTCTTTTGCAAGTCTTCTTATCCATCAAGCAATATCTGACAAATCTCAAACAAATCTGAAACAAATTTTTAACAAATCCCAAACAAATCTCTTATGGGATTTGAGTCATTATTCCCAACACTATCAATGTATATATTTTATATATTGTATGATATCATTTTCATTAATAAAGTGAATCAGATGATATCACTTTTTTAATGAGTAAATTTTTTAAAAAATATTAATTTTTGTATATTTATTTTAAATATTGATATTTACTATTTAATGAGATAACATCATTTAATTTATTGACAGTATATAAAATTTATACATTAATAATATATTAAATGTTATAATTTTGATAACTCAATTATTAAAACATAATATAGCTACATATTTTAAATTATTAAATACGATACATTTTACCTTAACTTAAAAGACTAAATAACCTATCCATTTTAAATTTTTTCTTAAAGGCAAGAAAATTACCTACCAGATGACGGATGAGATTCCACGGCATGTTATCTTGTTTCAGTGACTTTTAGGAGTGATCAAAATATCATATTTAATAATTGGAGGACGAAAACATCAAATTTTATAAATTTACCAAAAAAGTAATTTACTTTAAATTCTATCATTAAAATATATATATATATATTGCTTTCAATTAAACTATTTTTTTCTGTAAACATTTTACTTTTTACTATTTAAATTTCCTTTTTTTTTACTTTTTCTTTTTCATTATTTTTCACAAAAAAAAAAAAAGAAAGAGAAGTGTTTACCAACTGGAGCCTAACAGTTTAATCATTTTGAAATCTTGATTAAATCTTTTTTTTAAATGAGTTTTTTTCCCTTAAAAATCACTTAAATAATCATATATAATTAGTAGAAATTATATATCAAGTCTTACAAATTCCTTTTACCTATAATATTATCTAAAATTTAATAATCATGTATATTATTAATAAATTTAATGTAATTTTAGTTGTTCTATAGGTATAATTATGTTGCATAAATCTTCTCAAAGTGTTGGATCACACCATAATTGATCATCTTCTCATATTTCTTAAACATAGCTATTCTAGTCCTTAAAATTAAAACTTAATTAATACCAATGAATTAAATGCTTTAAACTCTAACCATTGGATTATCTTTAAATCAATTTAGGGTTGCTAGTATGATAATCTTAATAATTTCTTATAGGAATTTACTAACAAGTGCTCCAATAACACTCTTTGAATTTAGTTTAGTTCCGACCAAAAAAAAAAGTTAGTTAAGTTGTTATTAATAATAATATTTTTGTATTAAATGCAATAATTAACAATTAATTTAATGAAATCCAAAGCATTAGGAAAATATATTAATCAATTATGGTAACCTTAAATAGCGTCTTAGAACATTATAACAAAATCATTTCTTATAATGGTAGAACATAACTTGAAATTTTATAACTTTATTTTAAAAAATTCAATTCTAAAATTGGGGAGTGATCCAAATAAATATGATATTTTATGTATTCATATCGTGTAAAGTATCAACAATTCACATCAATTTTGACATGAAAATTGTGTGTTATGTAATTCATAACAATACAAAAAATATGAAATATTTTTTTTATTTTTATTAAATTTATATGTAATTTTTATTAAAATTTTAATCCGTATCATCATTATATTTTTTTATCATTTTCGGTAATTTGTAGGTTTTATATGTAAACAAAATTTTAAATCTCTTAAAGAATCATTTCTTCAAAATATAGTAACAATCAAAGGTTAGAGTTAATATTGATATATTTGGAATTTTAAACGAAGAGCAATATGCATGTAATTATATTGATAAACATTAACGACAGAAGGACCAAAACAATAATATTGATAAACATTGGTCAAACGTGCTTTTTCAAAATTAAATAATTAAAATGAAAACTCTGAAAAAAAAAAGGTCAAATAAGTAATTTTCTTTTACCCGATTGTGTTGCTATATCACATTTGTTTTCTTCGAAATGGTCCTACACAGTGACTGCAACGTCTCCTATATCAATGAAAAAGAAACTGAAAAACAAAAAAAATCTACTTTCAGCGTCGATGAAGGCATCATGACTCACGATTCTTCGCTTTTTATTGACTAAAACACGTTGAAAAGGTGCAATTAAGGGCGGCGAAAATTGCTACTATAAAAAACATAATAAAGAATAGGTTAAAATACGAAAAAAAAATTGAAATATTAAAAATTATTTAACTAAACTTTTATATTATTACTGTATATAAATAAATCTCTTAATTTTTATTTTTGCTATCTAAACATTTTAAAATTTAAGTTAATGATATGTTACATATTTTAAGATTTCATGAACAATAATTTGATAAAAATATACACATAACAAAAAATGTGTAAAAATGTAAAATTTTCAAAAAGGGTGGTCTGACAAATTTTTTTCTTAATTGATAGTATGATCTGAAATAATTATTAAAAAGAAAAAAATATTATTATATAAAATTTAAAAAATTCAAAATTACATTTATGACCTTAATATTTATATTTATATGTGTATTTTTTTTTTTGTCCTGCCATCATTCACATATCTTAAAATATGTTAATATGTTCTTAATTTAAGAATGAGAGCTTTTGGATAATGAAAAGTAAAAGTTGAGAGACTTATTTAAATGTAATAATAATATAAAAGATTAGTTAGATTATTTTAATAATTTATGAAATTTATTTTCATATTTTAGCTTAAAGAACCCACAAAATATTCAGTGGTAAGTATTTATTTACAGTGATCTGTTATCAGCAATTGGTTTCCTACCCCAGAAATCTGCAACGAAATGAAATTCAGCATTGTGAGTTTGAAACGGAGGTGAAAGTTGTGATTAGAAATTTATGGTCGAAAAACACTTGATTCTATCGAAACGCCAATCTAGGAAAAAACTTCGACCTTTGCTTGCTAAGATATCATCCGTTGGTCTGTTTGATTTCAGAATGTTGCTGATTTGCTATCTCGATTCACTTTGGCCGATAATGTCTCTATATATGTGAAAATTATCTATATATATATAAATAAATAAACAAATTATGAAATTTTAAATATTGAATCCCGTACATCGAATTATTGGTTTTGCATCTGCTGGATTGATGGGCAGTCTCTGACCTTCTGGTGAACTTGATCAAACTAAAATTTCTTATCACCAGCTAACGGGCTCAAGTTTAACTGGACCCAGATTCCACGCAAACCACCAAACCCAACGTCTTCTTATGCGCCAAGGCCATCACTTTCCTCAAGGATCACGTGATAAAATATGGTTGGATGGAGCATCACTATGATAAAGGACAACCTTTTGTCCCTCTTTTTTGTTATTTTTTTTAGGTTTTATTGATTTCAGTTATTTAAATAATTTTACTGTATAGCAACATTTTTATCAATAGATCAATGATATGTTTAATAGTTTTATAAAAAATTTAATGTAGAAGATTTACGGTATTATAGTAACTATAAAGCATGTTATAACTAATATCATTATAAATCATGATATAAAATTAAAAATTAACTGTAAAACTAAACCTGAGATGAAAGGAATAATAAACAAAGGAAGAGTTTAAAAGTTTATAATTTATATTTCACAAAAAAGTTTGCAAGAGAAGTTTTGAACTCTTTGATGTCTTTTGAATGAAAGAGTCACAACCTTATATAGACATAGAACAATAAAAGGATAGGACCAAAACATTATTAGAGGGCTCATAAACAAACTAAATAAAATAATTTTAATAAAGAGGAATATATTCCTTCCTTTACAAAAACAACTTTAATAAAATTAACATAAATTTGATACATCGTAAAATTGACATGAAATTAAAATAGACGAAAAATTG